CACTGTGCCTTCACCTCTAACTGGGAACACCCAGGAATTCACTGTGCTTTCACCTCTAACTCCTGCTGATGGCCCTGACCCTGTTCCTCCGTGCTGCTTCTCAGGGTGAGGAAGGAAGAGCCCAGAACAGTCTTTCCCCACCCAAACCCCGAGCTGATCGATCTTTTCCTCAGGAATTAGTTGTGCCATTGACTCCAGGAGTCCTTCCCATGGGCTGGCAGGAGGGGATGGTGCCCAGCAGAGCAAGGAAGGGCTGATTTGGATGCAAAGCCACTCAGGAAACCCACGTGGGGATTTCCAGTTCAGACGCACGTGGAGATGCTGAATGTTCCTGGGATGCAGAACAGAAAATTCCACTGTGAATCATCCAATTAGCTCAGGAGCAAACGGATCCCAAAGGCAGACACGGGGCTGAGGAACCACGTTCTGCATCCTGAGCAGCTCCCTGGGGACACCTCAGGGTGACCACGGATGAGCTGGGCTCAGGTTGGACATCAGGAGGAATTTCCTCCTGGAAAGGGTGGTGAGGCCTTGGCAGGGGCTGCCCAGGGAGGTTTGGAGTGCCCAGCCCTGGAGGTGTCCCAGGAAGGCCTGGCTGTGGCACTCAGTGCTCTGGGCTGGGGGACAAGGGGGGCATCGGGCACAGGGGGGATCCATGGGCTGGGAGGGCTTTTCCAACCTCAGGGATTCTGGGATTCTGAGATTTCCCTGTCCTCTGGCTCTGGCAGGGAGCAGCAATGATTGTGTCAGAGGCCGGCAGGAATTCCACAACCATGGAAGGCAGATGCTCCTGGCTGGCAAACGGATAATGCAGGAGCCCGGGGCAGCAGCAGAGCTGAGGCAGCCTTTGCTGGAACCCCTGGGGAATCCTCAAATCATGGAATCATTTGGGTTGGAAAAGCCCTCCAAGACCATCGAGTCCAACCATCCCCCAGCACTGCCAAGGCCACCACTGACCACGTCCCCGAGTGCCAGAGGTGTCCCACATTCATGTCTCATAGCCCAGTACTCCCTCTTACCCACTTTTAATATGAAAAATACCCTAAAAACTTGTCTTGACCAATATGGTAAAAATATCACTCAAAATAGCCTTAATCAAAAGAGCACTTTTCCCAGCATGTTTTCCCCCATCCAGGGTGTTTTCCTGCACTTTTGCAGGTTTAGATGAGACGTGCCAAGGCTCTCCCCAGCTTCCTCCAGGACCAGGGCAGAGTCATCCCGTGGAAGAGCCCCTGGGTGCCCCAAATTGACCCCCATTGATCTCCTGCAGCCCCCGGGGTTGTGTCGGCACCGGGAGCAGACGCTGTGGGATCGATGCCCGTTCCCTGCTCTGCTCTGTGAGGTCACAGCAACCAACCTCCAAAAGGGGAAATAAGGTCAGTAATGGGTTCAATAAGAATCAGCACAGAATCCCAGAATGGTTTGGTAGAGGTTGCCCAGTGAAGCTGTGGCTGCCTCTGGATCCCTGGAAGTGTCCAAGGCCAGGTTGGAGCAACCTGGGCTGGTGGAAGGTGTCGGTGGAACAGGATGGGCTTTAAGGTCCCTTCCAACCCAAACCAATCTGGTTTGGCCCTTGTCCCCAGTCCCTCTCCAGCTCTCCTGGAGCCCCTTTAGGCCCTGCAAGGGGCTCTCAGCTCTCCCTGGAGCCTTCTCTTCTCCAGGGGAACCCCCCCAGCTCTCCCAGCCTGGCTCCAGAGCAGAGGGGCTCCAGCCCTGGAGCACCTCCGTGGCCTCCTCTGGACTCTCTCCAGCAGCTCCACATCCTTCCTGTGCTTTTGAGCCCACAAATCCAAACCTCCAGGACGTGCCTGACTTCATTCCTGAACATTCCAGGTGAGGTTTCCCACCCAGGGCACAGAAGTTGGTGTTTGCTTCCATTTAAACTCCCCTGGGCAATTGTTACCTCTGAGATATTTTCCCTGTTTCCATTTATTCCCTGCAATTCCCTAATTTCAGCACCTGGAAGCTTTTCCAGGCTTCATCTGATCCAGCAGGTGAGAGGAAGCAGGAGGAGCTGATGGGAAATAAAACGATCAAACTGATTATTTGTGACCTGAATGAACAGAGACAGTCCCCAGACACGTGCCATCCAGTCCCACTGCTTGGAGGCTGCCTGGATATGGATTTTAGGGCAGATTCTGCCATTTTCCTTTGCAAAACCCTCCCAGTTTGAGGTGGGAGTTGGAGTGGGTGGTCGTGGCACCGGTGCCAGGATTTTCCTGACCTCCAGTGATGCCTCATGGAGCTTATCCAGGGATTGGCTTCCTAAATCCCTTCAACAGACCTCAAAATTAGACACAAACCCAGGTTTTAAGGGAAATGAGCTGTGGGTTGTTCCCCTTCTGTAATTTAACTCCACCATCAGTCCTAATTAGAAAAATTCCTGAGAAATCAAAAAAAAAAGGAAAATACCTCTGTGTCTGCATTTATCGCTTATAAATGGATTATTTTATGGTCCATATAAATGATTCTCATCCATAATTAACAGCAGCTCAGCAGTTAATTGCATCTTTGTGCAGAATAGTTCAATGATCAGTTGAAAGTTGGGAGTTGTGCTGTGATCTGGTGTTTGGGATCCACTGCAGCACAAACACACCAACACCTGCTGCTGCAAAGACAACCTGAAACAGGGAAATCTTGATAAAAGAGAATCGATTTGGGGGTTTTCTCTGTATTTTTATGAGCCAGGATGCTCCTCTGGATGGAGGGAATCTTATCAAATGAGATATTAATTAGAGGATGAATTATAAAGCTACATATAAATACAAAAACTATATATGTAAAGTTATAAAATCATAACATTTATCAAACTCTAAACCCTAAAAAATAGTTATTAAAAATCTTTAGAATTTGTTATATATATAATTACATATATGTGTATATATAATTATATACATAATTTGTTATAATTATCATTTGTTATACACAGATAAAGGGCACATCATTTTCTCTCACAACACTTACCACTGTCACTCTTTGTACCAAAAAGGCTTAATTTTGTCCAGCAATTAAGAGTAAAATCTGAAATAATTCACGCTTACATATCAATATTTGTGCTAAAGGTTCTCAGAAATCACTTCCACTTCAGCGAGGACACGAACTGGTCTCTCCCTCTTGGTCTCCTGAGGATTAATTTTCATTTATGTTTATAAGTCCTTTAAGTTGTTCTGGAAAACTGAGCCTTAACCTCCACCTGGGGACAGCTGAAGCTCCTGTTCTGACTTTCCACGTCCTGTCCCCTCTCAGCCCTCACCCCCAAAAGCTCTGCTGCCCCATTTCCACCCCTCAACGTGGAAATAAAGCCCTAAAAATGCAGTTATTGTGTGGAAATTTATGTGTTTTTAGCAGATAACCCCCTTACCAGATAAAAGTAATCTAGAAAAAGATGAATGCACCCAGAGAAAACCAAACCAGTAGGTTTTAATTCTACAAAACTGTATAAATATTGAGCTGTACAGCACAGGGGGGTGGGGAGCAATAATCTCTCTTAGGACATTTACAGTGTGCTGTCCCTTAGCCACAATAATTTAAATTTGATCACTTTATAATAAAATTTACCTTCACAGTAATCCTGAGGAGAAAAATACTCTTTTCTCCCTGTTTTTGGGGTTTCTCCCAAGCCCAAAGCCCTCGGGAAGGAAATGAACAAATAATTTCTTCATCTTTTTCTGCGTGGAAATTACTATTTGAATTGGATCACGGGGCTTTCATGCTCTTTCTATGGAGCAGAACAACAGCCTGCCCCTTTCTCGGTGCTTTTAAGCCACATTCTGCATTTTTGTGGTGATTTGGAGGCAAGGACTGGATGAGTTTGACCCTCCTTCGAGCAGGGAGGCTGAAGACGAGCCTTCAATCCCAGTTATTCCATGACATTCCAGCTCCATGCAGGCACAGCAACCACTTTCCCAATTAACTCCCTCCTGCTTTCCATTTAATGACGTGTATCAAGAAAATATGAGCTATAAATTTATATTACATCCATATCTGACACAATTAATCCAGACCAAGCAGAGCATTATACAGAAAATACTGTCCTTTTTAATGACCCAGTGCATTTACAGACCTTTTGAGGAACTGGGAGTGAAATCCTGGGAAACATTTCACCCCTTCCCCGTGCTGGGATCACTCTGCCCTGGGATTTCAGTCTCTTGAACCCTCTGAGCAATAGGAAGCCACAGACTATTGCCAAAAACCCAGCCTGGAGTGCAAGGGGTGGATTTTGGGTGGTCACCAAAGGAAATGTCCCCGGTACAGATGGGAAATGTCACCTGTATGGGCAGGACCTGTCCCCACACCCCACCAGGGACCATCAGGAATGACCACACCAACAAAGGGGCTGAGCCACAGAATCATCAGGAAACAGAAATCAGCCTCTGGCACAGCTCTGGGAGCAGAACTGGGAGCGGATCCGGCTCTGGGAGCTGAACTGGGAGCAGATCCAGCTCCGTGCAGGGGATCCAGGGATGAAGCTCTGCCTGTGTCCTGGACAGGGAGACACTGCTGGGGGAGGGCAGCCAGGGCTGGGGGCTCTCCAGGCTCTGCTGGTCCCAGAGGGGCAGGTTTGGTCCTTCCATCTGCCCCCTGCAGCCCCAGGTCCAGCCTCAGCCCGTTCCATTCCCATGGAGAGGACAGTTCCATTCCCATGGAGAGGACAGTTCTGTTCCCATGGAGAGCACAGTTCATTCCCGTGGAGAGGACAGTTCCATTCCCATAGAAAGGACAGTTCCATTCCCATGGAGAAGACAGTTCCATTCCTATGGAAAGGACAGTTCCATTCCCATGGAAAGGACAGTTCCCTCTGTGCTGCTCTGAAGGACCACGTGTGTCCCTCTTTCCTCTCCACATTCCCGTGTCTTCCGTTGTCGCCTCCTTTGCCAGAATTCCTTTTTTAAGTGCAACCTTTGCCCAGTTTTCCAAACACCGGATCCCATTTTTTTCCCAGCACAAACCACGAGGCTTTGGCTCTGCCTGGTGCCTTTTTCTGCTCATTTTGGTGCTGTCAGATCCCACTGGGCACGAGAGATCAGCAAACATCCTCCAGGCCTTGCCAAGGGAGCCCAGCACCGTCACCCCCAGCTCAGGACACACTGGCCAGGGTGGCTCCCAGTGCCAGCTGGTGTCACAAGGCCTTTTATACTGGGCCACCTCCCCGTGGGGGTGTGTGACACACAGCAACACCTCTTCTGCTGCAGGCTGGTGTCTCTGGAACCATCTCTGAGCACGTTTGTGTGGACCCAGCACGTGCTTTATCCTTCGCGGGCTGGGAGGAGCTTCTTTGAGCAGCCAAACAGAGAGACCTGCAGCGCCGAGGCTCCGGTGGGGCTGGGAGAGGGCTGGGCTCGGCAGGAGGAGGGCAGCAGGAGGAGGAGGAGGAGGAGGAGATGCCCGTGCCCAGCTCAGGCCCCCAGGGTCATGTTGCGCAGCAGCCACTGCTGGGAGCGGCCGGCCCCGCACTCCCGCATGGTGGGCACCAGCCTGTCCTCCTCCGACGGCTCTGCCAGGCACTGGTTGCTGTTCACGTGTCTCAGGGTGAGCTTCTGCAAGGGAGGAGACACAGGGAATTACTGCTGGGAATCGTAAAGGCGTCTGGGGGGCTTATTTCAGTCCCGTTTGAGTGGCTGCACCGGCCGCGGGATCCTTCGTGGGGCTCCAGGGCAGCTCCACCACTCTGCTGCCACTCACCTCCTCACAGGGAGCCAGGACACCCTCTGCTGCACCCAGCCAGGGAAAATGGGACAGGAAAGGACAGAAGAAGTGCCAGAAAACACTATTCCAAAGCAACAGCACTTTGGATGAAGGAGTTTAGTCTTCAATGGCATAGAAACATTTCTATGTCTAACTCTGCCAGTGCAGAAGTTATTGCTGGGGGAAATATATTCCATGAAAACTCTTGTGTTTTAACACATTCCTCCTGCTTTGGGACACCCACCCCCTTCTGCTCCCACCACGTTGTATTTCTGAGGGATGGGGACATTAGAAGGAAAGAGAACTTATTCGGGAGGAATAAATCATCTGTTTGAAAGCATTGGGAGAACAAGTTCCTGGAGAGATCCAGGGAAGTTAAACATCAAGTTGCGCATTTAAATGAAAAAAGACAGGTCCAGTCCCAGCTGAGCTCAGGGTGTTCCCTCCATCACTCCTTGGATTGATCCAGGGGTTTCACACACAGAGTCCCAGCAATTAACACCTTCCTCGAGCCTTTTTGCTAAGAAATGCTGCATTTACCAGTTTCATATTTCAGAAAAGGGCTTGCAGTTCCTAAAAAGTTAAGTCAGGTGCAAAAAAAAAGCTAAGTCACTGAAAGCTAAGTCAGGTGCAAAGGAAATGCTCTTCCACACACGGCAGGTCAGCAGCTGCACATCTGGACACAGCTGGGGAGGCCATGCCCTGGAACACCCCTGGGAGCACAGCAGTGTCCCAGCTGGGGGTTGGGAATGAGCTGGATGGTGCTGGAGGGCTGGTTTGGATGGGAAGGGACCTTAAAGCCCATCCAGTGCCACCCCCTGCCATGGGCAGGGACACCTTCCACCAGCCCAGGTTGCTCCAACCTGGCCTTGGACACTTCCAGGGATCCAGGGGCAGCCACAGCTTCTCTGCCCAAGCTGGGCCAGGGCCTCCACACCCTCCCAGCCAGGAATTCCTTCCCAATATCCCATCTAACCTGCCCTCTGGCACTGGGAAGCCATTCCCTGTGTCCTGTCCCTCCATCCCTTGTCCCCAGTCCCTCTCCTGGAGCCCCTTTAGGCCCTGCAAGGGGCTCTCAGCTCTCCCTGGAGCCTTCTCTTCTCCAGGTGAACCCCCCCAGTTCTCCCAGCCTGGCTCCAGAGGGGCTCCAGCCCTTGGAGCATCTCCGTGGCCTCCTCTGGACTCTCTCCAGCAGCTCCACAAGGATTGTGACCCTGCCCCAACACCAACAACCACGGGAACAGGCAATTCCAGGACTGAAACCTTGTTTGAGATCATCCACTGGATAATCAAACACAGCAAAGGAACAAACAGGGGAACAAGGATGGGCGGGAAAATTCTGGGGCCTCCTGGATGGGGGAGAAAAGACGAATCAACACCAAAACAGCCCAACCGGACCCAGGTTATCTATTGATGGCTTGAAATTCTCTGTCACCAACATCTCTAGGATTCAGTTACTGGAAATCAGGAATTTCTCTGTTGAAATCAGGGAATTTCAAACTCAGGGGATTATATAAAAATTCTATGAAAAATTCTATGAAATTCTGTGAAAATTCTATGAAAAAGTCTACACAAATTCTATGAAATTCCACGAAACTGCTACAAAAAATTCTACAGCAAATCTTAAAAAAATTCCACGAAATTCTATGAAAAAAATCTACAAAAAATTCTATGAAAACTTCTGTGAAAAATTCTATGAAAAGATCTACAAAAAATTCTACGAAAACTTCTGTGAAAAATTCTATGAAAAGGCTATGAAAGTCCTATAAAATTCTATAAAAGTTCTATGAAAATTCTATTAAAATCTATGAACTACACGAAAAATGCACGATGCAATTGGCCTTATTTTTCTGTCTTGGAAGAGGGGCCGAATCTTCAGCTCTTTGCAAACAGTAACAATCACATCGACATCAGGAGATCCAAGCACTTGAATTCATCTAAAATTATTTATAACTAATAATAACTAAGACTAAAACTACTAATAACTAATGATAATTACTAAGAACTAATAAGGACTAAGCAGAACTAGCATTAAACATCTATTCTATGCTATTCTGGAACAATCTGCTGTCTTGGTTTGTGTAGCAGCAAAACAAGACAGAGATGCAGTTTTTTGGGATCAGCTCCAAGCACTGAGTGCTGTATTTGCTGCTGTACCAACCTCCCCCTAGGAGCTACAGGAAATAGTCGGTGGGGCTGTAGTAAACCTTCCTAAAGACTTCCAGGCGGGAGTAGTTCCTGAGGATCCAGGTCTGCAGGGGGCTCCCGTTGCAGGCCTCCACTGTGGGGCCGTGGGAGCCGTCCTCGATCCTGCTCAGGGTCAGGCACGACTGGGTGATCACGTGCAGGAAGGTGTGGGTCTGCAGGGCACAGGCACGGGGAAAAGTCAACAGAACCCAAGGACAAGCAGAGGAAAAGGCAGGGAAGGGTTCGGTGCCACCCCCAGTGGGCAGCGGGAACAGCCGGGAGAGCTCCGGTGGGAATGACTGAGGGATAACAGGGCTGGGAACGCTGCAGGCACACACAGGGGTATCCACAGGGATATATATGCATGAACCAGGCTTCAGCTTCACACAAAACTCCTGAGGCCCATTCACTTCACACCCCGTGATCCAGAGCTGAGGGTGCCTTTGGATCCGGCCCCCCCATTGTTGCCTCGTCCCAATCCCCAATTCCCACTGCACAGCAGGATCTGGGGAGAGATGAGGTTCCTCCTGCACTAATACCCTGCACCAACCACCCTGGAGCCCATTTGAGCCCCACTCAGCCTTTGGATGAATCCTGCTTGGCACATCCCACTGCCAGAGGTGAGAGACGGAGCTGCCCTTGTGAGGGACGGGCAGCTTGGGAAAGGGCAGGAATCATATCATGGAAGTATGGAATCACACAATTGTTTGGGTGGGAAGGGACATCAAAGCCCATAAAGTTCCACTCCCTGCCCTGGGCAAGGACACCTTCCAAATTAAAAATACAACGAATTAAACATTCACATATGAGAGAAGGATTTGTTTCCCCAACTACAATTCCAGCTTTTCCTTCCTGGTGCCAACAACACCGGGTGGGCTGGGATGGAGGGGACCTTCTACTCCCCTAAATTCTGCCCATCACTGCAGGTTCCCCAGGGCTGGTGCTGCCAGGGCAGCTGGAGATGCTCCTCCCGCCCGTTCCCTCTCCATGTCTTTGGCTTGATAAGGGAAAAAGTGGTGTGAGTATAAAGAGGCCACTAAAAATATCAAGGACAAGTGTCCTTATAATGCCACTTCGAGTGAACATCACTGTTGGGTTTGTTCCATTATGTATCACTGCTCCCTGTGCCTTCTGTCTGGGATTCTTTTCAGGGAAAACAGAGGCACATAAATAAATTACTTGGGAATCTCTGTGTTGCACGTTATATTAAATCCCTAAAGTCAGTGGGTAAAAACATCCCTAAAGTCAGGGGTAAAAACAGGGCCAAGCATCATCTTGGTAATCTGAGTAGACTTTTCTCTGCTACATGGAATGCTTTGGGTTGGAAGGGACATTAAATCCCATCCAGTGCCACCCCCTGCCATGGGCAGGGACACCTTCCACTAGCCCAGGTTGCTCCAAGCCCCGTCCAACCTGGCCTTGGACACTTCCAGGGATCCAGGGGCAGCCACAGCTTCTCTGCCCAACCTGGGCCAGGGCCTCCCCACCCTCCCAGCCAGCAATTCCTTCCCAATATCCCATCTATCCCTGCCCTCTGGCAGTGGGAAGCCATTCCCTGTGTCCTGTCCCTCCATCCCTTGTCCCCAGTCCCTCTCCAGCTCTCCTGGAGCCCCTTTAGGCTCTCAGGTCTCCCTGGAGCCTTCTCTTCTCCCCCAGGTCTCCCAGCCTGGCTCCAGAGCAGCTGGTCAAGAAGGTCTGGCACGTTGGAGCATCTATGGGAAGGCACTAAGAGGTGTCACTTCTACAGGCACTGCTGGAGGAGGAGGGAGACGCTATTCCAGGGTTTGGGATTTGGCACAGGGGTCGCAGTTGGTACCAAACTTACCTCAAAGCTATATTCCCATTTCCCAAAGTACTGATGGAAGGGGAAACAAAAGGAAATTGGAGTCAGTGAGTCAACAAACATTTTGTGTGAGGCCCCTCGTTTCTCCAGGAATGGAAATTCCACAGCTTGGCACAGACACAGTGTTTGGGGACAAACTTATGCAGGATCAAATCATGGAATATCTGAGTTGGAAGGGACCCACAGGGATCATCCAGTCCAACTCCAGGCCTTGCACAGGACACCCCAACAATCCCACCCTGTCCCTGAGAGCATTATCCAAACACCCCTGGAGCTCTGGTAGCCTTGCAACAAATCCTGAGGAATCCATCAGGAATAAATCCTGAAGAATCCATCAGGAATAAATCCTGGTGTCACCACTCATGCACGAGGAAACAAAGTATTTCCCATCAGCTATGACATATTTACAGCACTATTTTTCCCTGGGTTCATTGGTGTGTGCTGTGTCCCAATCCTGAGGTGTCCCTGGATGTCACAGGGCGACACAACTTGGGAATCACCAGGAATGACAGCACAGACCTGGACATGCTCCATGTGCTTCCATGGATTCATCTGGAGCCAAACACCAGCTGATCCTGCAGGAATATCTCCACCCAGACCCATCTGGGGTAAAACAAATTGGGAGAACCCCAAATTCCCACGATGAGCAAGGTCAGGCACTGATGGAGCAACTCTGGCTCCAGCCTGAACAAAATTCCCAGATCTTTTCTGCTGATCCCCCTCCTCATTTCCCACCCTATTCCAAAGCAAATACATTTATCCATTATAAATATGATGTAAAAATGCTAACAGGGAGCCTTTGGATGAATCCTGCTTGGCACATCCCGCTGCCAGAGGTGAGGGATGGAGCTGCCCTTGTGAGGGACGGGCAGCTTGGGAAAGGGCAGGAATCATATCATGGAATCATGGAATCTCACAATTGTTTGGGTGGGAAGGGACCTCAAAGCTCATGAATTCCCACCCCCTGCCCTGAGCAGGGACACCTTCCACTAGATCAGGCTGCTCCTGTATTATACATTTAAATATCATCCATTAAACTAAACTAGAACATTTAACAACAGCAAGAAATCAATAAAAATTGCCTGAAAATCAGTACTGAGAAATCCATTTTAATGGTTATTCACATCCCCAGCCCTGCTGTCCATTTTAAGCCTTAACTCCTGAACACCTTCGGCAGGAGGAGGGAAATGGTCTGAAACCACAGAGTAACCACCCAAAATCCCCTCCAGCCAAGTCCTGAATAAGCAAAAAAAGGTAATAATTAATTTCACTAAAAAAACAAGTTAATGGATACAAGGGATTCAGGCAATGCCTTGTAACTATTTGGGAAAAAATATTAAAATATCACAAGCTGGTTGTTTTCTCCTGAAAAAATACTGAATATTAGGTATGTTTGGAGCCTGAAAATACACTAATAAACACATAATAAATAACAATACTGAAATGAGAGGGAAGAAGGGAAGCTAAAGTCTGAATATTGAGAGTAAAACTGACAATGAAAATATTTTGTCAATAAATGCAGAGGTATAGAAAGCAATGGGCTGTTCCACAGCAGAACAAGCAGCAAAGCCCGGGAGATCCTGCTGTAAAAACCCGGAGTATTTGTGTTTTATGAGCTCCATCTCATGGCTGAGCTGGGTTTTACACAGCTCCTGAGAAACTCTCCACTGTGGGGCTGAAATGCTCAAATAAATAGAAAAACCAGTCTGTTTTCTGCCTTACAAGGGCTGTATTTGGTTGGCAAAATTCCACTTTTCCAGGCAGAAAGGTGAAAGAGCCATTGCTGGGAAATACTTTTTAAAAGACTGTATGTCTTCAATCCATCAGTATTTTTCTACCTTTGCAGCCATGGAGAGATTCCAGGATAATGTATTTTTTAAATCAACATTTTTTTCAGTTTATCCCTGGAGTATCACTGAGCTGAACTTGGAATCTCCCAACTTCAGAGTGGGAAAACCTGGAATTTTAAGGTGTTACACCTGGGGATGGATCAATTTTTCAATCTCACCATAGCCCACCACGTTTCTTATCTTATTATCTTTAAGAGCCAACAGAAATAAGCTGAAAAGACTTTAACTAAAGAAAAAAAGAGATCTTGTTTAATAAAGTATAACTAAAAAAATAGATCTTGTTTAATAAAATATAACTAAAAAAAAAAGATCTTCTTTAATGAAATATAACTAAAAAAATAGATCTTGTTTAATGAAATATGACAAAAAAAATCTCGTTTAATAAAATATAACTAAAAAAATAGATCTTGTTTGATGAAATATAACTAAAAAAAGGAACTTGTTTGATGAAATACAACTAAAAAAATAGATCTTCTTTAATGAAATATAATTTAAAAAATAGATCTTGTTTGATGAAATATAACTAAAAAAATAGATCTTCTTTAATGGAATGTAATTTAAAAAAAGGAACTTGTTTAATAAAACACAACTAAAAAAACAGATCTTGTTTAATGAATTACAACTAAAAAATAGATCTTGTTTAACGAAATATAACTAAAAAATAGATCTTGTTTGATAAAATATAACTAAAAAAAGATTCTGTTTAATGAAATATAACTAAAAAAAGGAACTTGTTTAATAAAATACAACTAAAAAAATAGAACTTGTTTAATAAAATACAACTAAAAAAATAGAACTCGTTTAATAAAATACAACTAAAAAAATAGAACTTGTTTAATGAAATATAATTTAAAAAAGGAATTTGTTTAGTAAAATACAACTAAGAAAACAGATCTTGTTTAATGAAACGTGACTAAAAAAAGATTTTGTTTAATGAAATATAACTAAAAAAAGGATCTTATTTAATAAAATACAACCAAAAAAATAGATCTTGTTTAATGAAATACGACTAAAAAAAATCTTGTTTAATAAAACATAATAAACAAATATTATGAATATGAATATATGATTTTCATTTATTTAAAAACTGCAAAATACTTCTTTGGTTTTGTAAGAAAGTACAACACCAGCTACTGGAAACGAGCCTTTTTAAGCAATAACTGGCTTTTTTTACCCCTCTAAAAAAGAAAATTTAAGGAATTATTATTCCAGGAGGAATTTCCTCATGGGAAGGGTGTTGAGGCCTTGGCAGGGGCTGCCCAGGGAGGTTTGGAGTGCCCAGCCCTGGAGGTGTCCCAGGAAGGCCTGGCTGTGGCACTCAGTGACAAGGCGGGCGTCGGGCACAGGGGGGATTCCGTGACCTGGGAGGGCTTTTCCAGCCTAAAGAATCCCGGGATTCTGCCAAGGACACCCCCATCCCTCGGGCTGTCCCCGACCCCCCCGGGTACCTCGGCATCGTACTCCCAGAGCTGGTTGCCCCTCATGTGGTGGCACTTGAGCATGAGGATGGGCCCGTTGAGCCGCGACACGTCCAGGCACAGGTCGTCCGTGCGGATCTCCTTGTCCGCAGTGTAGGAAAACACCTGGAACACACGGATGGAGCCACAGAGGGTCACAGAACTCCAAGCTGGGGGGCTGCTCCCGGAACCCTGGAACCCAAATGTGCAGATGACACCAAGCTGGGGGGAGTGTGGATCAGCTGGAAGGGAGGAGGGCTCTGCAGAGGGACCTGGACAGGCTGGATCCATGGGCTGATTCCAACGGGATGAGGGTCAACCAGGCCAAGGGCCGGGTCCTGCACTTTGGCCACAACAACCCCCTGCAGCTCCAGGCTGGGCCAGAGGGGCTGGAGAGCAGCCAGGCAGGAAGGGAGCTGGGAGTGGAGATGGACAGGAAGCTGAACAGGAGCCAGAGTGTGCCCAGGTGGCCAAGAAGGCCAATGGATCCTGGCCTGGATCAGGAACAGTGTGGCCAACAGGGACAGGGAAGTGATTCCTGCCCTGGACTCAGCGCTGGTGAGGCCACCCCTGGAGTGCTGTGTCCAGCTCTGGGCCCTCAGCTCAGGAAGGACATTGAGGTCCTGGAGCAGGTCCAGAGGAGAGCAACGAGGCTGGGGAAGGGACTGGAGCACAATTCCCATGAGGAGAGGCTGAGGGAGCTGGGGCTGTTCAGCCTGGAGAAGAGGAGGCTCAGGGGAGACCTCCTCACTCTCTGCAACTCCCTGACAGGAGGGGGGAGCCAGGGGGGGGTTGGTCTCTTTTCCCAGGCAACTCTCAGCAAGACAAGAGGGCTCAGGGTCTTCAGCTGTGCCAGGGGAGGTTTGGGTTGGGTATTAGGAAGAATTTCTTTCCAGAGAGGGTGATCAGCCCTTGGAATGGGCTGCCCAGAGAAGTGGTGGATTCTCCATCCCTGGAGGTGTTTAAGGACAGACTGGATGTGGCATCAGTGCCATGGGCTGGGAACCACGGCGGGGTTGGATCAAGGGTTGGACTTGATGATCTCGGAGGTCCCTTCCAACCCAGCTGATTCTGTGATTCTGTGATTCTGTGATTCTATGAGTCTGTGATTCTGTGATTCTATGATAAGTGCCCAAGGCCAGGCTGGACAGGGCTTGGAGCAACCTGGGATACTGGAAGGTGTCAGGGTGGGAATGGGATGAGCTTTAAGGTCCCTTCCAACCCAACAATTCTGGGATTCTCTGATTCCACGGATAACTGACAATTAAGGAAGCCGGGTTTGGAAAAGTCACCACGTTAAGAAGACAAGTGAATGCTAATTAAGCTGATGTAAAATTCCCACCCACACTAATTACAGAGACAATGATATTAATGCCACCTGAAAATAGAAGGTGAGGACACAACACATTTTATAGCTAATTAAAGAATGTATGGGTGAGGACACAATGCAATTTACAGCTAATTAAAGAATGTATTTCACACATCCCAGTGGGACAGGTAAAACATTCCTCCAGGGATGGGGGTTCCAGCCCCTGCTGGGGCTGCACAACCTTCACATTTCAGAAAATTCCTATAAAACCTGTTCTGCTGCTGCCTCAACCTCCAACCACCAGTGCCAGGAATTCCCTTGGCCTGGTGCTCAGCATCAAGGAGGAAAACTGGGAGAGAAACACTCCAGACATCAGAGATAAAACTCAAGAGCTGGAATTACATGAAATGGTCAATATGATAAAATAAAATAAAATAGAATAAGATAAAATAAACGGCTCAAAGAAATGGCTGAGTAGTCCTAAAATTCTTCTGACCCAAATGCAAAATATTTTGGAATGTTCATTGATTATTTTGTGTTATTTGCATATAAAATAGAATTTAAATAGATATTTTAAATTTAAAAATGTGTCTATAAAATATAGTATTTTATATAAAGCATGTTTTATATAAAATATTATGTTTTAATATAAAAATTACATTTCATATTATTATATTTATATTTCTATATTATTATATTTATATTATATTTATATGTAATATAAAAATTATATTTTTCACTAATATTTTTTATCATGAACCAAGGGCCAGTGAGGGTCCCCAGGACAAGCCCCCAGCCCTACCTGGGTGACATTTCAGCTCTCACACCACTCTGAACCAATTATTTCACAAATAACACACCTTTCCTCTCTTTTCCCCTGCTTTACCTGATTTCCTCCCATTCCATGGCAGTTGAAAAATCCCACTTTCTCGTTTTCCTTGCGGCCCATGTTGTCCAAACACTGGTTGGTTTCAACGTTCCTGATCTGAAGGAAGAAAAGGGGTGAAATATTCCTTGAAAGGAATGTCTGTAAATGCCACATTTCTGCAGAAAAAAAAATCACATTTCTATCAGCAGAAAGTACATTTTCTGTGCATTCAAATATAGGTATTGATTTATTTTAATGTATTTATTTATTGTAATGTATTTATTTATTGAAAATTGTAAACATATCACCCTCCCAAAAGAAGGTGACAATAAATACAATAATTACAAGGAGTATAATGAGATTTTAAAGTCCACATTCAGTGTAAGTGTGAAAAGCATTTGAGGGAAATCCTATTCAATCCTCCTTATTTTTAGATTGCCCTGTACTCCAGAGTGAGTTTGGAGCATCATTTTTCCTTGGATTTGAGCTGAGGAGGAGCCTGGTCACCCCTCTGCTGCCCTGCCAGGTGGGATGGTTCAAATCCTGCCTAAATCTCCACTGAAAAGGAGAAAAACGACAGAAAAATGCACTTCTGATTGGGCTTAAAAATTGCCCATTCCTGCTGCTCTGGGGCTCAAAATCCCCTTTCCTGCAGCAGCTGGAGCAGCCAAGCAGGAGTTTGAATTCCCAGCCCCTGAGCTGCTGTTTCCATAGAAACTGAGGCCACCTTGGCAAAAATCAGGTGTTTTAATAACTGTTTTATGACTCTCTCATAGCTCTGTTTTGCAGCCTGACAATGTGGCACAAACCCACGTTATTTGACACTTGTTAGACGAGTTCTTTCCTCGCTGCAAACCCACACTTCACTTTATTTTGCCATAATTTAACTGGGAACCCAACAGTGCCTTTTATTTCTCCCTACAATGGCAAGTTTCAATGGGAAATTACTTCCCTGGGCGTTTGAAAAAAAAAAAAAAGAAAAAGCCATTTTTTTTCATTTGATTGTTATTCTATCCTTAAATCAACCCATTCAAGAGCTTTTAAAAGTCAGCGTAGGTACAACTCAATAGAGTATTTTTAACAGTTGAATTTTGAAGAGATTTCAGCTGCTGGTGGTACAAAACCGTGGCATTATTAGGAATGTCTGTGATCCTCAGCTCCAGGCTGGAAAACACTCAGTGAACAAACATATTTCTTTTTTAACAAAAGCCCCAAAAAAAGCATTTTTTTTTAGCCTCTTCCTGAACGATGAGGGATGATGGAAAGTCCCCTTCAACTGCTGCATATTCATTATGTCAAAATATTAGTCCCAAACCTCACTTTTCCCATCCACTGCTCCATTTCAAAGATAAATTTGGATGGTTAGCATTTGGAATGTACACTCAGCTTACAGATGAATTTTTAATGGTGAGTGGATACATTTAGAACAGCAACTCCCCCTTCAAAGAGGCTTGAAGGAAATACCCCCAGCCCAGAATAAAGATAAATGATATCCAGGAGTGACCAGCAGCACTCCCGGCTCCCTGCATCCCTGATTTCCTGCACTCCTGGCTCCCTGCATCCC